TAGGGAGGGTTTGCTTAGAGTTTTAAGTTTCTAATTGCTGATGTATATGCGAGATTTTGGATTTCATTATTGATCTCAGGTTCTACATCAGTGGTATTTCAAAAAATGCCATGTTCAAGCTTTGACAATTTCACTAAACATAAAGAGCTCTTGTATGGCTTAAATATAGATACTACTTGCATCATGTGGATCTACTAATTGAGGTGATAAGCATTTAGTGTTTAAATATTGGGCTTCATTGTTGATGGTGAGCAATCACTACTTAAATAACTATTTAAAAGCTTAGGTTCATTGAAGTCTAAATGTCATTTTCTAAAAAAATATATAACTGCTAAAATTTAACTCATCCCTCAAAACCGCAACTCCCGATTGGACCAAATTTACGCATATAAAAGCATCAACGTTAAACTTTAATACCCATGATTAAGTGGAATCTACTTTAAAGATCTAGATCTTAAGAGACACAATCATATCCCTTTTATCTCCTCCATCAAGACTAACGTATGATTTATTAAAATGTTTTCAAAATCTTTATACTAAACTTTGAGTCATCTTACTAGTTTAACTATAATGAAATGACAAATCACATTAACACTCAAATCTCTATTTTTGAAAAATTTTCCATTTCCTATCAAGTGCAACAACTGTACAATTACATAAAAGACAGTGTTAATATCTTTCTATATTAATATAATTTATTTTTAAACAAGTTACTTTTGTATTAAAATTAAAATTTATATTCTTAGTTTAATTTAAAATATTTAATTCTTCATTATATTGTTATTACGTGTACTTTTTGAAAAAAACATATGTCTAATAAGAATCCTTCGTATAAGAGGATGCCTTCCAAACATCATTATCCATTTTATAAAAAATTAATGGTTAAGCATGGTAAATGTACACCTTTAGAGATCAATATCACTTGTTCGATAGGATACGAATCATCATAGTATTTTCTTATGAGTACACTGAAGTCTTTTGTTTTCAAACCAACTTACATCGAAGCATAATAATAAATAAATTAACATCATACGATTAATTTATTTTATTTATTAGATAAAAATAATGTTTCATAAGTACAAATGGCTTATATCTCTCTTTTTTTTTTTTAATATGAGTATACGATTAATTTGTTTTTTAATATGATAAAATTCTAGAATTTTATGCCTTTATTTATTACACTTGTTTTATAGTTAAGTTTTAACTATAAATTTACAATAAATACATAAGTACATATATATTTTCTAGGTCACAATACTTTTAATTATATCTACATAACATAAAATTTTGTTCCATTTATTATATGAAATTATAAAAAAAAAAAAAAAAAAAAGAGTTTGTCTCAATAATTATATTTCTAAAAAAGATGGCAGCAATATATGGTTTAAAAAGTTTAAAAGAGATATATATATATATGTCGGGGAAAACTATAATTTAATTTTAATTTTAATTTAATTAGTGGGTATGGATATGATATCCTACGCGCGATGCAGCGAGAGAACAAGTGCGTTTTCACTGTATTGATTACTGGGAAAGCAAATGCGTCTGCATGAACCCTGTGCTGGTGTTGAGCTCCACCAGGTGGACCCTACTTGATGACGACATCATTCACCACCCCAAATACAAACCCTCAAACCACTTCCCTATAAATCAACCCTTCAATCCCACACCTCCATTGCCAAACTAACTCCATTCTTCTCATCTCCTCCATTTTCATCCTCCCCCTCCACCAACGCAACCAGAAATTCTTTAAAATGGCCGGAAGAGACACGTCGTTCAGCATGACAGAAAAGATGACCAACCATACACCTGCTCCACAGCACTCACCGTGGCACTCTCCTGTGCCTTACCTCTTTGGTGGCCTGGCAGCCATGCTTGGGCTCATAGCTTTTGCACTCCTCATTCTCGCCTGCTCCTACTGGAAACTTTCTGGCTACCTCGAGAATAACGAAGGACAGTCGTCGGGGGAGCCCGATTTGGAAGCCGGAGAAGGTAAAAACGACGACGATTCGAAGAAAGCGCAGCCGGTGTTGCAGGAGAAGTTCCTGGTCATCATGGCTGGAGAAGTGAAGCCGACGTTCTTGGCCACCCCTGTTTCGAGCAGTGCCAGTACCAGCAGGTCATCTTCGTTCGGGGAAAGCAACAAGAGCTGCTGCAGTGAGCAGAGTGAGAAATTAGAGGATGAGAAGGAGAAAGAGAAAGAGAAGGAATCGAGCAGTGCGGTTGAGTTACAGAGACGAAACTCGAACGCCACACACGATTCCTCAGATCAGACTTCCTCGTCACAGTAAAATTTTGTCCTTATTTTTGGAAAATTGGTATTGGGTTTTTTGATGGGTTTGGTTTGTTGAGAACTGTATATGATCCCCCTGAGGTTTGCATTGTTAGAAAAAGTAAGACTGGGCATTGGTTTATGTAGCAGTCAGATAGAGATTTTCTTCCTTGATTTTATTTTCTTGGAAAAGTTCGGGAAATGTATAAATTCAAATGAGATTTGAATGGAAGAAATAGCAAGTAATCTAAATATAAACCAAAAAAATTCGGTGGTAATTTAAACAGTTCTCCATCTCCGAGATCCGGCGGATAAAGTTAGAAACAGCTGAAGTGTTTATAGGAAAAGAAAGAAAGGACAGAGAAGAGCGCAGAGGTAAAGTGAGTTGGCCAGCCAGAGCAATGCAGAGGAAGAAGAAGGCACGTGTGAGATACGTGTAAGGGTAGTGGTGATAGGGGTGGTGGTAGGTGTCCCTGATGCGGCGAAGGGAAGTTGTGAGTACGATCTGAGACTCCCAACAAAAATATTTGAAAATTTTAATAATTGAAATTATTGTTTTCAAGATTGCTTCATCTTCACTGGGTGGAATTCTCTGTAGGATGATCCAACAGTAGAGCTCCAGAGACCAGATAAAATGTACTTACTGTGAACTATTAATTATGTTAAACTACTAATTAAACATGATGATTCAAATACGATAAATGAATTTCATAATTCTTCTAATTTTCAGATTCATTGTAATGTCTAATTTATAAAATTGGAATTTCAGAAAATATATTAATATTTTTAAAAAATCCTTTATAATTATTATTATTTTTTAATTGTTAAAACTGGAGAGTGCAATGAAATGGCGGTCAACATCCAATTAATTAGTTTAATGTATAGATTAATAAGAAGTTAAAATGGATTAATGCGGTCTCAATTAAGGTTAAACAATTAATTAATTTGTCATTTTTTTACATTTTACGTAATCAAATTGGGGAATGGTCAGTTACGCAATAATATTTGTTGTATTATAATTTCAACTTATAGTTAATTATTTAATTAAATGCTAATTAAAGGAAAATTAGTGAGGAGACGCGGCAGTCAGAGAATGAATATTTGATTACCTTTTTTTTTTTTTTGGTTTGTTAAAACAAAATGATGAAAACTCTTACGAGCATTTGGAAAATAAACAGAAGAAATAAATAGCCCACAGTTTTTTTATTTTATTTTATTCTGTAATTATTGCAAAACTTTGCCAACTGTACGCTGTTAATTGCTTCTTTCCTTTTTTTTTTTTTTTGCCTGATGAAAAATAATTATTGTTCAAATTTTATAATTTATTTACATTTAAATTATATTTTATTCAAACTAATTTTATTTTTTATTTAATTTATAAATTTGGTTAATGAAAATTAATCATAATTTATTCATAATTAAATTAAAGCCATTTGGGTATTACAGGGATCTGTTTGAATTACACGGTAATTACTTTTAACTCTGTATTTACCCATTAAATTAAGCCAGAAAATGACCCAACTCAACCAATAATTTCTAATAGTTTGTGCAAGAAATTTGGACCAAGGAGAATTAATGTAATTTTATTTTTTTAACTTTAAAATTGAATTTAAAGTTTATTTACAATTTTTTTTATACTATAAGTTGATAAAACTATATATATATATATATATAAGAGTCAGAAATTGAAATATCTAAAAATATGGATAATAACTTAATGATTAATTAAGCTATATATTACTAAATCAACTTTTTGTTGGCATTAATAATTGAGGTCCCATAAATGGTTTGGTTAGATTAAACTCTCATAATTACATTTGGGTCCTCCTCCTTTGATGCATAACCATCTAACCCTAAATATGTCATTATTAATGCCAGTGGGGACATTGAAGAAGAAACCAGAATACGTATGTATATGGAGTACTTCGCTCACCCATTAACTCCTCCATACTGTTACATCATTTTAATTGTTTCAAGCATCAACACTAATGCTTTATATATTGTCAATTACCAACACTATGTATAATTCTGTGGGTATTTTTTATTTTTTCATTTTCGTATATATATATATACACACACACACACACACACACACAGAGAGGTATATACGGTGTGTGTGTGTGTGTGTGTATGGGTCTACAGTGTTGGCCATTAAAGTCTGCATCAAATAATAAGTTGCTTATGTAAACCTCTTAGTTATTGGGATGACCTACCGGTTAAAGCATTGCAGATGGCTAAACCTTTGCTTTCCATCCCAAATGGAGGCACCGGACAAGTCCATGTCTCTGGTTTCTTGTGGTAGAAGATGACTCCACAAAGCCAAAAAGAAAAACTTGTGGAAACCTGAGAGGATGAGGGTAGGAAGGTGCCAATAATTCTGAATCTCAATGGACTATTTACTAATAATTCTTCAAGACATATGATATATATATATATATATAGTGTCAATTCAAAGACATTCAAGCTACGTGTGTGTGTGTATATATACGTATATGGGTATATATGTAATGATAACAGGAATGTTCAATCAAATTGTCAATGGAAGTTGTACCTTCTGTTTCTTGGGTATAAAAAGGTTTGAAAATTACAGCTCGGAAATTTCGAATTTCCGGCTAAAAATAGCCTGTTTTTGGACGATCAGGGTTCAATCATTTATATCATTATTTGATTATTAGTAAGAGTCGTAGGAATTGGAAAATATTGATGGATTATGTACATTGTAAAAAAAAACAATTACATCATATATATATATACACACGTATAGTACAGTTCTGTACGGACATGAATATCAGCAGTCAAGGAACCATCTAAATTTGGGCCCAACAGTTTCCGATACTTGGTAAGCCTTTTAATGGGCCCATGTACATGTACGGACAGGCCCAATACCCTTTTAACTTTACTTTTTCACCCAGAAGTTTCTTTTGTTAATTACTAAAAAACCAACATAATAATGGAAAATTTGCAATTTATTTTTTTTCAAGGCCTGCGACTTTATGGCCTTTTAAGATGGAATCTCCTGATGCCATTTGGGATGAAAAAGAAAGAAGATGAAATTAATTAGAGGACAGACGAAGAAGAATTGGCCCATTAATTAAAAGACTCGTGGCACTAACCTCAATTAGGAAACTTAATTAAGACTCAGAATTTATAATTACTTTAGACTTTCAGGTCAAATTATTATTATTATTCTTATTTCAATACTGTTCGAACATTCGTCATCACCTTTTTTTTTTTTCCCCCTTACAAACTCGAGTTTGTCAATAATTATCTTCATGTGGGTATATAAAAATGAAATCAAGGCAATGACTTTTAAATCTTTTGTTAAAGAAATTAAAGAAAGCTGCAGTACTTAATTTAATTTATTTTATTCGGGATCGCTTAGTTACATTTGTTTGATGGAATCAGAAAGCCGGCCGAGGGCGGCCGAACTCGCCTGCTTTGGTTTTAAAGAGAAAAACATATAATGGATTATTGAGAAAAGTGAAGATAATAATTTTCTTGGAAATCACCACCATTATGGGATCCGCACTTGGTTGCTGTGGCGGCGAGAAGGTTGAGGAAGGGTGCGTTTCTTCATTCTTCATCTCTTGTACTTTTAACTTAAAACAAGTGAAATACTCAACTTCTACATATACATACGCACGCACGCACGCACACACACTTAGTTTTGGCTTGATCTTTATGTATAAGGAGAAAATTGTTTTTCAGATCGATCGTTCGTCCAGGAAATAATTCATGGAGGATATTTACGTATAAAGAGTTGCATACGGCTACTAATGGTTTTAGCGAGGATAATAAGCTTGGAGAAGGTGGATTTGGCAGTGTGTACTGGGGAAAAACCTCTGATGGTCTTCAGGTAATTATGTTAATTACCTTATTATCTAATTATTAATTACATGTTGTTAGGTATAACCAAAAAAAAAAAGGTATTAACATTTTCATCTGATTCCAATTATAAATCTACTGGTTCTCTAATTTATTATTTTACATCATCATGTAAGAATTCCCTACTGACATTTTTTAAATTATCTATGCCCGATGCCTTACTTTAATTTCAATATAAGATATATGGGTAATTTTTGAGTAGTACATAAATATTGTGATTGGTTCATTTTAATTTCTTTGTAAGGAAAATTACAAAGTAAAATTTGAAGTTTACTGATAGCATTTATGTAGTAGTTGATAATTTTTTCAAGATAAGGTGGATATATACTTCTATTTATATTTTCAAGCTAATTTAACTTCCAGGTAAAGAATCACGTTTGCAATTCTACATGCATAATTATTTATATACGTGTTGAGACTAGGGCAAATTTTACTTACTACTGATATGAGGGGGTTATACAGATAGCTGTAAAAAAGTTGAAGGCCATGAACTCAAAAGCAGAAATGGAGTTCGCTGTGGAAGTAGAAGTTCTTGGTAGAGTTAGGCACAAGAACTTGTTGGGTCTAAGAGGATACTGTGTGGGCACCGATCAACGACTTATAGTATATGATTATATGTCGAATCTGAGCTTGTTATCTCATCTCCATGGCCAATTTCGTAGTCAAAGTCAACTAGATTGGAAACGGAGAATGAAGATTGCTATAGGCTCCGCTGAAGGATTATTGTGAGTTCAAAATCATCTTTCTTGTTTTTCTAAATCACTGAATTGAATCTCGTAATTATATATCAACATGCAGGTACTTGCACCACGAAGTAAAACCTCATATAATTCACAGAGACATAAAAGCCAGCAATGTCCTCCTGGACTCAGATTTTGAGCCACTGGTTGCTGATTTCGGTTTCGCCAAGCTTATCCCAGAAGGAGTTAGCCACATGACGACTCGTGTCAAGGGCACTTTGGGTTATCTAGCGCCGGAATACGCCATGTGGGGAAAAGTTTCAGACAGCTGCGATGTTTACAGCTTTGGGATTTTACTACTCGAGATCCTAACCGGAAGAAAACCGATCGAGAAGTTGCCTACCGGCATCAAGAGGACTATAACCGAATGGGCAGAACCACTGATAATCAACGGGAGGTTCAAGGACCTTGTCGATCCAAAACTCCGAGGAAATTTCGATGAAACCCAGTTGAAACAAGCGATCAATGTCGCTGCTTTGTGTGTTCAGAGCGAGGCAGACAAGAGGCCCAGCATGAAGGAGGTGGTGAATATGTTAAAAGGGTATGACGGGAGAGATAAAGTGATGCAGATGAAAATTGAGAGTGTTAAGTACAAGGAGGATTTGGTTGAGATGGACCAGGCTAGTGAAGAAGAAGATGGTAATGGCGGTGCAGATGAAAGTGGGTATGGTGTTTTTGGAGCCATGGAGATGCAGAGAATGGAGGATCCTCATGGGCGATTTTTAGAGCGAAGATTTCTGAAACATGTGTAAGAATTTAAAGTGCGGAACTGTTGATCTGAAGATGTTGCACCTTGTTTCATCACATTAAGATATTGATCGTTTACTTACATGCTCTTTCCTCACTAATTCATGAATTGGACTTTCATGTACATTACTTTGTGTTTTTATTTTCCGTTTGCTTCATCGAGGAAACAACAAAAAAGAAAATAGTGCGTGCAAGAAATTTCTTTGGGACATTAATGATTTTATTCTCAAAATGTAATTTTCTCTTTTTAGATGAGATAAAGAAAAGAAGAAGAACGTAGGCGTAAGGTCCAACCTTTCTTACGAACGATACGACCGCCACCTTTTTATTTAAAGAAAATATTAAAAAACAATATATATTGCAATATCAAATATCTAATGGGCTTTGACTTTCTAAGGGTCCATTTCGATCTAAACTAGCATATGTTCAAAACCCAATTTGACATACGTGTATGTATATGTGCAGGTACTTTCAATAGCATATTCAAATTTTAATTCTTGAAGAAAAATTTATAACTTTAATTACTATATATATATATATATATACACACACACAGACATGTATATATGATATGCAATTTGTTGGTATTTGCACAAAAGGGTTTAATGTAAAGTGTAAGAAAAAGTAGTAATTGATTTCATAGACTTAGTTGTAGAAATGATATATATGACCAACCATTATGATTCAATCGCGTCTCTCTCTTACCTTTAGAGTCCTTTGTTTCTTCTCAACGTTTCACTCATGAAAAGGTTAAAGACGCCTCTTTTTCCAGTGCCAGATCCCTCCTCCTACCAAATCCATCAATATAAACATTAAATATATATATATGTGTGTGTGTGTGCATACATATGTATATATATTACTTTCATGGCAAGATAAATCAAAAACATCACCGCCACCTTTGCTTAAACCCCAAAGCACCCAACCACATGTACAGAACACTCACTAATTGATACTTCCCTATCCATGCATTGCCTACTCATGCTTCCTAAACAAGACTGCTAAACAAAATCTTCTTCCTTTCTCTTTACAACTCCATAAGCTCACCTTTACCTCCATCCTATTTCAATCATAAAAACCAAATAACACCAAGCTCTTTTCTTCCATCCATAATTTTTTACTCAAAAAAATGGTGTCTTCAGCTTCTGCCAAGATACTTATAGGAATTCCTTTAGACTCAGATGATAGCAAACAACTTCTCTCGTGGGCAATCACTGTTCTTGCTCGTCCGAATGATGACATTGTTGCCATTCATGTCCTTGGTAATTACTCGCTCCTAAATCAATAATCTCACTTCTTATGTTTTACTTACAATACTTGTTTTACATTTCTGTTTCATTAACTGCACTATCTTCTTAAAATTAACAGTTGGTGATGATTCAAGAAAAGATTCATCGATGAACAAGAAACAATTTTCGCAGATTCGCCAAGCAAAGGCCCACGTTATATCCGTTCTTGGAGAATTTGTCAGAACCTGCCAATCCAAGCAGGTTAACTAATTGGAATATCTTCTCATGCAGCTTATTAAGTTTAGTAGAATTCAAACATTGATCCGTTAAAAATAATTCTCAGGTAAATTTGGAAGCTAGAGTGGGATTTAGCTCTAGCATTGGAAAAGGTCTCATAGAAGAAGCAAAGTCCATCTCAGCTGACTTCCTTCTTCTTGGCCGCCACTCAACAACACATTCAATTGTCAGGTGAATTCATCATTAATAATATTGACATGTTTATTTGCAAAATATTATATTATCATTCATGTAAAATACTCTTTCCATGATTTTTTTTCTTTATTTTGGCATTAGAAGCAATTCACGTGAAGTACTAAAGTATTGTTCTGAGTATGCCCCAGAAGACTGCACAATTATCCTAATTGGAAAATGTACTGGGCGAAACAAAAATTTCATAGACTCTGATTCTGCTTGTTTTAAAGGTTAATGTGATCAATCTCTACACATAATTATAAAAATTATGATAATTTTAAGCTCAAAATATTTCTAACGGGTCATTGATAAATATCAGGCACACGACAACTAAGTTCGATGAGGTCTAATAAAAGCATGAATCTAAGTGGGAGAACAACCTCTTCACTCCATGACCTGATTTTGTCTGAAATCAATAGACAAAGCTCTTTCCCAAGAACATTACTAGGTGCACTTGATGGGGATTTAAACAGCTCAGATAATAGTAAATTCAGGCTTGAAAATTCATTATTGGCAGTGGCTCCCAGTAAGCCTAAACCTCAACTAATCATGAAGAGCAGAAAACCAACGTCGCCATACAAGTTTATAACTACACTCTTCAATTCACCAATGAGAAAAAGAAAAACCACTTCCTTCAAACACGAAAAGCAGCAACCTTTACTAAGGTGTTTCAGCTATGAAGAGATTTCAAAAGCTACAAATTACTTCCACCCAGGTAACAAAATTTCAAATATAGCTTAAAGGATAATTAAGTAGCAAATTCATGACACCAAATTGAATGGTTGTTGTGAATGTATCAGGCAATGTAGTGGGTCGAGGAGGGTACTCGGAAGTTTACAGAGGTGATCTTTATGATGGAAGGACAATTGCAGTGAAGAGGTTAGCTAAGGACAACAAAGATGAAATCAAGGAGAAAGAATTCCTCACAGAATTGGGCATAATTGGACACGTCTGCCATCCTAACACAGCAAATTTAGTAGGATGCTGCATTGAAAATGGACTATATTTGATATTCAACTTCTCCCATAATGGAAATTTAGCTACTGCATTACACGGTAAAGATCGAGACACGATCTATTCAACTTTGAATTGAGTTAAGGCCTGTTAAATCTAATTGGAGAATTTCACAGGTAACACAAACAAGTCACTTGAGTGGCCAGTTAGATACAAGATTGCTTTAGGAGTAGCTAGAGGACTACATTACTTACATAAATGTTGTAAGCATCGAATAATACACCGCGACATTAAAGCTTCTAATGTGCTTCTGGGGTCTGATTATGAACCTCAGGTGAAGAATCACCATGCCATGATCTTTTCTTTTTTTTTTTCATTTTCATCAATAAATTCTGATATTAACTACCAAATTCTTGGTTTAGATCACTGATTTTGGGCTGGCAAAATGGCTTCCGAACAAATGGACTCATCATGATGTGATTCCAATTGAGGGAACATTTGGGTACTTAGCACCTGAATACTTCATGCATGGAATTGTAGATGAGAAAACAGATGTTTTTGCATTTGGAGTTCTTCTTTTAGAGATTATAACCGGTCGCCGGCCCATTGATTCATCGAAGCAAAATCTTATATTATGGGTGTGGTTGACAAACTTATGACTCCTTTATTTTCAATCTTATTACTGGATTAGAGCTAAACTAAAAATTGATTTGCAGGCAAAGCCATTTATAGAGGCAGGGAAGATGAGGGAACTAGCAGACCCTAAATTGGAAGGTAAATACGACCCAGATCAAATGCATAGGTTAATGCTAACAGCTTGCTACTGTGTTAGACAATCATCAATATGGCGCCCCTCTATGAGTGAGGTAAAACACAAATTTTTTTGTCTTATTTTTAGTGCAGAACTTACCTTTTTGCCTGCACACTATTATTTTGGGTTGAATTATTTACATCAATAAACATATATCATTATATTAAATCTGAGAATTGACATACATCATTATTTTTGTTGACGTGATTGAACAGTTAACCATATTAATTGAATAATTAAACTAAATCATTAAGCGAATGTATTAAATTAAAGACATTGAATCATAATTTTGTAAGATTAAAATGTCAAGACATGAAACTACAACATAACTCATTAATATTTTTTAAGAAAATTGAAATTAACATTTTGTTCTTGGTGGTAATAGGTGCTTGAGCTTTTAACTTGTGGTCATGACTCGGAGATTACAAGAAGCTGGAGGATGCCTAAGTTAATCTCTGGTGAATTGAATGATTACTCCATGATTTTTGGATACGATGTGCCCATAAACATTACAGAAGACGATTATTTGTAATTTTTTTATTCTTTAACTTAAATTTTAATTAAATGCTAATAATTTCAATAAATATGTAATTTTTTTAAATATAGAAGAACTAAAAAAAAAAAATCAAGTAATTTACTTTACAAATGAGGGCATCGAGAAAATTAATTTTGACATTCTGGGTACTGCGTACAAAAGATATTTTCATTTTAATTAATTTATTATTTTTTAACAATTAATTTTATTATTTAATTCTGAAGACCGTGTGACTACTGACACCCTTGCGTCGTTTAGACCGTTGACCAAGTCTATTAAAAAAAAAAAACAAACCGAAGGACCACTACGGACAGTGGCGCGTCATGGGGCGAGCAGAGGAAAGCCATAGGCCATGGCCCCACCGCGCACGTGAAGGAGATGTGGTTGGGCCTACCATATGTTCGAGTGGACCCTACTGTTGATTGTACCTCCACATGGATTCGCCAGTCGCCAAGCCGATTCTCCCCATCCATGTCCCTCCGGCTAACCAATGAGCCGAAAACACAAGAACCCCTTTTCAAATAAATTAATTAAAATTTAAAAATTCCAAAAATTATTTTTTTGGATAGGATAATGGTTTTTTCCTTATTTATTATAATGTTTTTTTTAAAGACTAATATACTGTGAATATTTGGAACATATTAAGGTATAATAATTTATTTAAATATTTAATTATGCAAAGAAAATTAACATTTTTACATTTTTTTAGTTTAATTGTATTTTTTAAAAAAAATTTATATATTGAAATATTTTATTAAATTAAACCAAATAAAATATCTCGTAATACATCGAATTTAAGTATAAAATATAATATGTACAGATATTATATTTATAATTTTTTATTTTATAATAAATAAAATAAAAAATGATAAAAATTAACGATATAAAATATAATTATAATTTTCAAATTATACATAAATTTTATTTATTTATTTATTATTCTATCAATAAAAAAATATATATTAAAAAGTCACGCATAAAAATTTCACGAAACGTCCCAAACCACATGATCAATGGTCTACTAATTTTTTGAATTTACATAGTTGATTTTCAAAAAATTAAATTCAAATTTTTAACATTAATAATATATAATTTTTGTGTAAAGGAGGACAATTATATATTTTTTTAATATAAGATTAGAGTATTATAATTTATATCGTTCAAAGTTTTTTTATAAAAAAAAATCATACGTTTTATTAAATTTATACATTAAAATCACAAAGATTCAAAAAGTCAAGAATTAATTAAAGTGGTCCATTTGTGACACAGTGGGTTAAAAATCATTAACTCATTAAAATTTTAGACAAAAAATATTATATATGAAATTATTAGTAATGTATAAATTTTTCTTTTTTTTTATGTAAGATTGAAGTAATACGAAAAATTATGATTAAGTGACGTTAAACCGAAAAAATTCATGCAAAAACTCATCACAATTTCATTACAAAAATAACAAAAATCTCGAATATAGTATAAAATTAGTATTCAAGTTTTAAATTTAAATCTATTAAATACTTAAAATTAAAAATAAATAAATAAAATTTTAGATAATTACAAACATCAAGAGATAACTCCGATTTTAAAAGACAAATAAATAAAAAGATAAATGATGTTACTATAAAAGGCAACACTTAGCCCTCAACGATTTATCAGTAACACGAAAAAGAGGGACCCAACTGTTGCTTCCCAACTCACCCATAAATATCTTCATTCATTATACAGCCCAACATAGAATTTGGTAAACTAATTAAGCCCACTAATCACAAACACCTCCTAATTTATATCTATTAATTTAGGCTAATCAAAAAGTTTACCAAAACTTTAAAACTATAATTTTTGGAAAGCCTAGGAGTTGCTTTCAAGAGATCTAAGTGGATGGTCCCGACCCAATTTCAGCCACTAGTTTTAATTTCATCAAAATCTGAAAAATCTTTGCCTAATTCCATCTTCAAAGGCGTGGAAAAAATATATATATATATTATATGGTATAAAAACAATAAATCTAATATACCCAACACAAAACGTAACACCTTTAACATCATGACGGTCTTGAGTATAATTACATGTATAATTTTGGAAATCCCAACTTTCAACACAAAAAATTTTGTCTCACATAATTTCAATCAGAAAAATTCATTTTCCCCAGTTCGACTTTAATAATAATATGTTAATTTCGAACTAAAATAATATAATTGATCAAAAAAGAATTATCTCACGAAATATATAAAATTACATTTTTAATAATTATCTTTTTTTATCATAAAAATAAAATAATTTTATGTACTACTATCAGTCAAGTTAGAGAAGAGATAAATAAGGAAATTAATTGCAAGACTGATGGGCAAAAAGAAATTTCATGTGCCAATATTGGAACTTATAAGAATGATTAAAAATAAAAATAAATTTAGTGGAGATGAGAAATAAATTTAATATTTATCATCTTTTTAAATAATAGATAAAATCTTTATATATATATATATATGAAATTCAACATTTATTAATTTATTAAATAATAAGTAATACAGATTAATTAAATAAAAATAATTATAAATTAATTCGTTAATGATGAATTGTTAACTTATAAGTTAATTCAAGACTCCAATTCTTTTGAAAGCGATTAGAGAATTTTGTTTCATAAATTAAAAGAAATGAACGAACATTTAACTGTTACAATTCCAGATGTGGGAAATTACAAATTGATTTCCAGCATTTGGATATATCCTCTGTGTGTGTATACGTATATACATACATGCACCTTGTTTCTGCCATGTCTTTTGTCCCAGACATTTGAAGAACATTCTCAAATTTTTGATATGATTCTTTAGATCCCATCACGCAGATCACGTCAAAAGTTCTACTTAATTCATTCATTGACTACCAGATACAACTCCCAATTTTTTAACATCAAAATACTTTCTTTCACTCCCACTTTCTAAGCTTCATCTACACAGACTTCTTACGTTTAAAAAAATTATATCGATACAAAAATATTATTTTTATTTAAAAATATAATTGGTTCGCTGAGTTAAAATCATCAATTTTATTTAATTAAATATTTTATAATGTTTTGATTATTAACTTATAATATAATTATAAATTAAATATGAATAAAGCCAAGACGTGGGTGACATAATTGATTTATATTTTAAGATTTGGGCGAATCCATAATAAGATAATTGCTTTGCTTAGAAACCATACTCGACATCTCACAGAAACTTCCACACAACACAAAAAATATTTCCTTAATTTAAAGACATATTGTTTTTGTTATACACGAATTATAAATTTTATATTATATACGTAATTATAATTAATTTAATTTAATTTTTTTCAAAAGATAAACAATATGGTGTATTACTTTTTGGCATTACTTATATATATGTATATTTATATTGATAATATTGAAATCAATAATATTGCACGACACCACCTCTGTGCTTGAACAACACTCAAATTATTATAATAATAACCCACTCAATAATATATTAGAATAAGGACAACGACAAATCCAACACCAGAAAATATTTTTTTTTTAAAAAAAAGGCCTAAGAGGCTATCAGCCAATAAAAATGGAGAAACAGATCCGTGATCATTTTTTATGATGATAAAAAAAAGATATATATATTATATTATATATTAAGAAAAATACTTTAATTGCAATATTTATAAAAAAACAAACCAAAAAAAAAAAAAAAAAAAAAAAAGTTACAGAGCCCTCGGGAGAAAAAGTAAGCGGGCTTTTCAATCTGCAAGGGAAAAATCTCCAGCGACGTACCGACAGCAGTCTCATCATCGTCCATGCATCTCTGAATCGGACGGCTGAAAATTTTCCTCACCAACAAAATATTTTACAGTAGGATAACAAAAGAGATTATTACGACTAAAACGGCACCGTACGACTCTCCCGGTTGCTAAAATTGAATATAGTGGGGAGAGAGGTACAAGATCAGGATGGTAGAAAATTACTGCAACCTTTCTTTTTCTACGGTACAAGTCAAAACGAAGGTACGACGCCGTATGGAGTATCGGCCATGAAAGCTGTGGACGAAGCAGAGTCATAGTTGGATTCAAGATCGGTTTCCGCTTCGGTTCTTTTGGCGAATCGGCCCTTGATTCTGGGTCGGGACTCCGCGTAGGCTTTACGGGAAGCGTAGCGAATCGTCTTCTCGAACTTCCGGTTCTTCCTCTTCTCTCTGTACCTCAACACTCTCGCTTCTCGATCGATTCCGCACAGCTGAGTCGCTTGGCTGGCAGTCGTGGCCGCGTTAATGCACGAGACCGGCACGCTTGGATCGCTCATGTTTCGGCCGAAATTGTATGATATATCGGACACGGAATTCCCGTCGGGAACAACTCCGAAGTCGAGCGACGACGAGGAAACCTGAAAATTTTTCATTTAAAAATCAGTTTACCGCAAACCATTTTCATTGAATTCGTTTTTATGGAAAACATTAATGAACCCAATTGCAATATCCGAAAGATGCTCAGTTTTCTTGAAAAATACTTCCTGCCTCTCCCCAAAAGTTCAAAATACACAAAACACATTTAGAGATTTAACTTTGGTTTCTGAACGACATTTTTTCCTCTCTAAAAAACTTGAAAGTGCTTTTTTTTTTTTTTTTCTCTTGCGCTTTTCTTTCCTTACCGGACGAAAAAGTGCGTGTTAAAATAACGAGCAGATACATATATACACATGCATTAATAGAAATAAGTGGGTTTTGAGAGGTAATTACGCTTTGGCTAAGAGACTGATTTTGGTTGTTGAACGATGAGAGCTTTGATCTACAGAATTCAATATCGAAAAAATTCTCATTATTAATCACCGGGACTGGCGTAGGTTTTGTCTGAACTGGCGCCACGCCATCAGTTGCGGCGCTACTACGATGCTGTGGAAACGAATTGTGATAATCGAAATCGAGAAAAGGATCCATGTCTGGAAATACCAAATCCCCAGATTTCATATCGACGCAAGAATCGGTTTCCATGTTGAATTTTGAATTCCCCAGGTTATAATTTGGAAGCAGCCAAGAACCCACCTCCACGTCTTCGTGTTGGCATGCTCCAGCATAATCACCGGTAACATTATCAGTGCGCATGAGGAAAGTGGAAGGAGTGGACTTGATGACGGACTCAGCTGCGTCGAAGAAAGGTTCAACTGGGACCCGCTCATGGCGGCGAGCGAGAGGGTTAGCAGAGTGGATATCGGCGTCGCAGATGACGCAGAGAGCAGCGGCATCGGCCTTGCAAGTGACCGCAGCTGGGGCTTGCTCGCACACCTCGCACATCCAGACCCGCTCATGGCGCGATGCCAGCTTGTTGAGGCTATGGATTCGAGAATCACATGCGAGGCAAAGGAAAGCCGAGTCAACCCTGCAGAAAAGCGCCGCGGCGGCCGATTTGCAGGTGTCGCATGGCTTCGCCGTCACGGCCCACCCAACGGCGATTCCCTTGACGCCCTGGAACTCAATTCCCATGACCCAAAACGACAGATATCGAAGCGTTTCTTTCAAACTTTCCCGGCGTTGATGGTTTTGTTTGTGTTATGGCAATTGGCTTTGTCTCCAAACTAAGACGAAGAGTAGCGCAAACAGTCGGGTTTTTTATTTGGTCTGATGATGTGCTATGGCTATCTATCCAGTCAGAGCGAGATGAAATTTGGGTGCTGACGAGTAAGAGGACGACACGTGGGAGTCTCTCGGCCACGAAAATTGTTTTTATTTAAATTAAATTGTTTATAGATTTTAATAATGCTCGGGAAGTAGTAGTTGTCATGTGTCTGTGCGGGAGGTAGGGCCCAGTTGAGGAGTGAGAGAAAGATAAAGCAACGGGCAGTATTATGGAAATTTTGGTGAGACCGAGATAGATCAGGTGGACGTGTTGAGGGTTCTGGGGCAGCTGGTGGTCGGTTACCCAAAATGGTAGGGCGCTGAATAGTTTATTTTATATTATTTTAAATTTTGTTGGTGAATCCACTATTTTCACTTTGTATTTATTGTATATATATATATATATATATTCTTTGAAGAATATTTATAGTCTAAATCAAAATATTTTGAGATGGGTAAAAAAAAATATAAATATATATATATATATATAATAAACTACCATGGTAAGAAAAAAAGGCACGTGCTTTATGTTTACTTAAAAGGTTAAATGAATGAGTGTTGTTTGTTTGGAGAATCTTGAAATTATGGATAGAAGGAAATTAAATGATGCAGTACGAAAGTGAGGAAGAAGAGTAAATATTAATTTCTACGAGGCTCAGCCGTGTTGTTTTTGTACAGTTTTAAATTTAAGAGACTTTTAGGGCTGTCAGACTCCAAATTCTCAGTAGTTAATTCACAGCCCACGGGGGCTCCACCTTTTACTGCATCTGCTGACTCTTGACTTGGAAGAAGATATAACTCGTTTCTATATTTTAATTTTTCATCATTTTTTAATGCTGAATTAATCTGAATGATTGCTTTTTAGACTTTAATTTTATTTATTTATTTATTCTGATTCCCTCATTATTTATTATCATCAGAAAGGTAGATATTGGCGTTTGCTCTAATTTAATATACTTATATTATATTCCAATAATCAAAGAAGCATATAATACAAAAATGGAAAAGAGGTAGAGATGAAATTGGCTTCATGTACTTAAATTATAAAAATTATATATTTATATATATATATATAGATAGCTCTTCAAATAAAGGAAAGGCCCTTTTGGTTTTTATTTATTTGACTCCTTATTCTAATTTGATTGAATTATAAAAATTTACAATAAATAATTTTAATCTTTTTCCTGTTATAAATTTTTCATTAAATTTAAAACTTTAAGTTTTAATTCATTTTGATTATTCTAACTTAAAAAAAAATTTTAATTGTTTTAAAATAAAATTTAAATTATCTAAAATTAAAATCAATCTATTTGCTGTAATTTTATCAATAAATTAAATTATAAATTTTATTAAATTAAATATTATAATTAGTCTATAATGCATTTAACAAAACGATAAATTTTATATCTTATATAATATTATTAATTTTTTATAATATTTTTAATCATTAAACTACAATTATGTTATTTTTTATTTTGATAATTAATTAACATCTCTTTCTTTGGTCCCACATAAAAATATATATATATAAGGATGAGGACAAATATATTTGTGTATCAAGAATATAATAACAACATGAATTGGAATTTGGAACTAATTAATTAACAGGGCTAGTCACGTGAATGTTCTTTTTAAATTGTGTAGGTGTGTGTATACTGTACACATACGTATATATATATATATATATATATATATAGTCGTGGGATGCTTGTAGGTGGTAGTAGTAATGAAATTAAAGGGCAATGGAAGTAGATAATGTTATAACCGTCAACCGTAACGTTAAAGAAGCCACCAGCAGCAGGGCAGTCTGAGGTTAAACACGGCGGTAACAATCGCCATCTGAATTGATTAAGGGAGAGGTCTCTAAGGATGTGGCTGCCATTTTCCCGGTATTAATTGCCTTCACTTCACCTCTTAACTTTTTACAATACTAACTACCTACCATTTTAAAAAATAATAATAATAATAATAATTTTTGTATTATAAATAATTTAGAAATTAATTATATACTCACGGACATAAATATTCAGTACAAAATTAGGTTCAATCTGGTTTCATTTTTTTTTTTTCTCTTTAAAAATAAAATTTAACATGTAATATGTATAAATCAAATCAATTATTACTGATTAATTTTAATGACATGATAAAATAATATATTATTGTAAATTACATAATTATATTGATATCACATATTCATTTATAATTCTCAATAATATTATTAATTTTCATGATTTTTTTTTGTTTTGTTTTTTTGGGTTGATATAAGAAAACATTTTAAAAAATTTAATTTTCCCACCTTTGAAACATTATCGGGGAAACGACAGCGTACAGTACTCAACATTAGTGGGAAGCAGTAGAATTAATGATCTCACAGACATGCAGTTTTAAAAGCCTAAAAGAAAGGCCACTACAACTTTCAATCTCACCTCTCATCTTTTTACCACCTATATAAATACACTCCGATTATATTATTAATTATTTAGAATAAACTTTATCCCAACCTAAGCTGCTACCATTTTTATAATTTTTCAAAAAAATAAATTTGATAATTAAAGATTATATTATTCTTAAATTTAATTAACAAATATTTAAATAAATGTTTTAATTATTAGAGGACAAAAATGTACAATGTCTGTCAGATGGAGAGAGTAAGTACACGGCCTGTGTGATTTTGGGCGAACCGAATCGGACAAAACGGGTGCGTTTCACGTTGAGGTAAGTTGTTTGGATGTCATGCCACGTCATGATGCGCGTGTGTTTCACTCACTACTAAGCCAGGATTAATATGAATGAAACCCAAAACTCAACGAAGTCGCTGTCAGAGTGGGACGATGTGGCAGACAGATGGGTCGGCAAGCCGCGTTGCGTTTATTCACGCGTTCTCTGTTTCCCCCTCTACTCTGGGAAATCTACTCAGTATTTAGGTTTTTTTGTAATTTCCCAGGACAAATATCTGATTTTGATAATAATTTATTTTATAAAATAAACTGTCCTACTATAATTTTGTAATATCATACTATTATTTATGTGGTGTTATTGGATTATTTTACCTGATAATCCAGCGTTGCGGTACTTTGAAGAATTTGAGGTATTTTTTTATTTAATTAATAGATTTCAAAAAATAGTAAGGTTTTACAGTAATATACCAATTCACTGCATGTGGTAAAATGGTATTTAAAAAATATTTTTTTTTGAACAAAATTTCATAATACTCAAATATAACTATATGTATTCTGACATGTTTGACTTGTCTTACATAGAAAATATTTGTAATTATTTGTTGCAATTAGTAACTCTTCCTAAAGGGTTACTTCTTTTTGGGTCATCTTTTAAATCTATTCACCAAGTGGCTTAAGTAGGTATTTGCTGGTCAGTGGAATACATGGTAAAGAGTATAAGTGCACGAACCTCTAAAAAAAATGTAAATATTGCTTCAATTTTATCAATTCGTTAGTGCATGAAATACTTTAAACAAGAAAAAGCAAAAGAAATATTTAATGGGTGCATAAAACTATGGTTAATCTTTCTGTAATATCTTATAATAAGAATATAATCAAAGTGGGTATGACTTTTATATATATATATATAATTTCAGTCAACAAGCACTTGAAATTGCACATTTGAGAAAAAAAAAAAAAAAAAAAAGATTTGACAAGAAATTCAAACAAAAAAAAGGTCAGTTCCAAGACATTGTTTAATGGAGTGAGGGGGGTGATTTTTTGGGCGGGTCTCAGCTCGCCCGAAAGAAACAAGAAGTGAAAAAGGCTTTTCAATCAAGATGGCAGTTGCTTATACAAAGTCAGAGAGATCAATTTAAATAATTTGTACGGTTTTTAATTTACTAGCTCACCTTTAAAAAATTGTAAGTCACCATTATAGGACGTTAGGAGACCGACCAAAGAAATTTGCTTTATACTAATAATTAATATATAATATTACTCTTGGATCTTGTCAATAAATATATATATATATATAAACGTGCTCTTTATATGTACATTCTGTACTGTACATGCTTAGATATTTGTATATATAAAGATCTTTAAGATACAACCATGGTAAGATTGGATGTTAACCATTTTCTCAAGTAAAACCATGCAAAAATATAGATGTTTTTTTTTTTTTTTATCATTTTGTGTATATGGATTATTTAAAAAATATTATTCTAATTTACATATATATTTTTTTTTCTTTTATGAATATTTTGTTAAGTTAAACTGTGTTGCAAAATATTTTTAAACATAAATATAATTCTATTTGTATATGTATTCATATAACAATAAAATATTTTTATACATGTATTATATATAAACACAAAATAAAATAAAATATTTTCTTACATCAACCAGAATCTAACTCTAGTTTATTTAGGATGCGGTAAGAACAATGTCATTCCCATTCTTTCCTAAATGGTTAAAGCTATTGAAATCTTACACTAATCCGTTTCACTGTTTTAAAATGTAATAATAATGTATAAATCTTACACTAATCTTTAATTAATTTTAATATATTTAAAATTAATGTATAAATACAATTTTTAAATTTTTATTTAATATAAAAATGAAGAAAAATAGGTGTAAGATGAAATTAAAATCAATTTTAAAAAAAATGGGTGAAAATTTGAGTTCTAAAAGTGTTTTTGAAAGAAAAATAAAAAATTAAGAGTCAAAACGTAATTTAAAAAAATTGTGGCACGTAAAAGACCCAATCAGCAACCCCGACGAACCGAAGACCGCTGCATGGCAAGGCACGCTGACGCGGTGCCACGCGGGCGATCTGCATGCCCGCAATCAGACCGTCTGGATTTATTCCCGCCCGCACGGACGGTGTGGATTCGCCCTTCCCTTTAAACGCGATCGGACGATACAGATCAAATCACGATGAACGGTCCATATCTACTTCATATTTAAACGCAATCGAACGGTTCAGATCAAATCGCGATGAACGGTCCATATTCACTTCTTATTTAAACGCGATCGGACGATCCATATCAAACGCGAT